TACGCTTGACAAGTAGCTTTATAAAGCACGTTTTTGTGATACATTCGCCGAGACGTATCTATAATAAGATATAAGAGTAAACCTTACTTTGAACACTGAGGTAATAGTATGGGGAACCTAAATTCTTATACCTCATAATATTTAATATTTCAAATTTTAACTGAACTTTAAGAATAAAGTCTCAACTATTTTTATCGGGCTCCTTGGACCCGCGAACTCCAGTATCATACCATCCGACAAACCCTTCCCTATATAATATCTGAGTAAAAAACCTGAGATACGTGGGGTCATAAACAACTATGAAAAAAAAATTATCAGACCGGAATGTGTTCTGTGATTCATAATTTTTAAGGCATCTAGAAAGACATTCTGTTCTAGATGACGAAAACTGTTTTATTGAATGGGCTAGTAAAGAAAACTGTAAAATAAATAAAAATGATTGTATTATGCAAAAATAATATATATAAGCAATTGAAAGGAAAACTGATGGAACTTCATATTAATTGTGTGTTTCCTGCTCAGTGTTCTTTTTTCTCATCATCTTTCGACTTGTACCGTGAATATCCAAGCAACCCAATCTGATTTGGATGAAATCATTTGTACATCTGACGAAGCAGGCCATGCAAGAATCGAGGTGCACTGCATCCATGGGTAACTCATTGTTGGGTATTACGATAAGGAGATTTTGCAACATATATTCTATGCAAAAGATTTTTTAAATTATCAAGCCCATTGGATTCCTTCTTAATTCCGATACTGCGTGTTATAGAAATCTATCTGTTGGGATGAGTTCATCTTTCTTATGAATTAGAGGGTTCTGAGGTATATTTATGTTCATAAAATGATATTAGTAAAACTGTAACCCAGAGTTATACAAAACTAATATAATAAGTTAAATAATAAATGTTGGCAAAGAATGATATCTTTTACATAAAAAGTAAGAAATAATTTTACAAAATCTCCCTGATTTATTTTTTTTAAAAACCCATAAATGAAAACAGTCGATATAGTTATTCTGTATGGTTTTATTATTATTGTTTTTCTACTTTACTCACTCCTTTACTAGCCATCCACACCTGTCAAAATACAAAAGGACAATTCGTGAATTGTCTCGCACATTAGTCCAACAATGAATTTAAATATCTCGGTAATTTATTATGTATCATCCACATTCTGAAATTCTGTACTTTATTTTTATTTAAATAATTGATAAAACGTTTTATATAATAAGTTGTTCGACAAGGGCATCTGTCTGTACAAAGTATGAGCATTATATCAGCCGGAAATGTATCTTTAATAAAATAAAGAACCTAAAATTTCTTTGATATTTGATGCATCAAACAAGTTATACGTTCAAAAAATGAATTTGTTTAATGGCAATTATTCCATTTAAAGTATATCTTGTAGGCGTTTTAGTGACTTTAATGAATGATAAGAATGAATGTTCGTTTATAAAATAAGTTTCATGATCAAGATAATGAATTTACCAAGAAATCAGATTATAGGTAAAGAGCAATTATATATTTCAGAGAAGATATTAATTTGAAAAAATGTTTAATTCCCGTTGGGATTTAAACCAAAATCTGTTCCGAGGAGCATGTGATGAGAATTAGAGAAAAAACGTCAAAAAATGATCATACAAGTCAATAAAGAAGATTATAATTCAAAGGGTGTAATTTTGCCCTGGAATTTTTTTTTTAATTGAAAAAAGCAAGCAAGGTTGTATCGCTTTGTAAAGTTAAATACACGGTTAAATAATAATACTTATTGTAGTTATAATTAATAAGGAATATTATTCACAACAATTAAAACATAACTTTGAAGTACCAACCTGTAAAATAATAAGAAACTACGGGGACACAACACCAACACCACCAGGAGAGCACTAAATGTTAGCTAAGACTCGCCTAACAGGTAGGAAAGTCGGAAGTAGGGGGGCTTAGTAAGTAGAACAGAAACGCTATCTGGTGGTTCATACAGAAAGGTTAAATATTAGTACAGCTTAGATTCTCTAGTAATTTAACATTATAACAATATGTTTGTATTATTTTAGCTCAGCATGGAGAGAAGAAATATATTATGGTGATGTTAAACAGATGTATGAAGAATTCGTTTACAAATTCACAAATATTTATATTTTATAATAGATAAATCCAGAGAGACAAGGGGGGCAGGCCCTCTCCTTTCAAGGGAAATAAATTTAAAATGAATTAGCAACAAATATAAATTTTAAAAAATACAAAAAAAATTATTGACAGGTTTGTTGTCAGTATTTAAATATTTGGAAAGTAACTAACAAAGAAAAAAATACCTTTTACATGAAAATATCAAATTTAGGAAATTGTCACCCTATCCTGTTTTAAGCTGGATATGCCCTTGAGTTATGTGCTAATCAATTTTATCGAGCATGTATTTATCACGAAAGATTATAAAGCACTTAAGGAAATGTAAACATATCAAATAATTTTCTTATTTACTGTTGAATGGGTTCTTAAAATAAGGTTTAAAAAAAACTTTAAGAATTTGTATTTCAAAACTGTTACCTGAAAATTAATTTCATAAAAATGGTTATTTTTTACAGTAATACTAAAAATCAATGCTTAAATTATCTTTCAAGGCAGTTTTACTGCATTTTGTGAATCAATAGCTTAGAGAATGGCATATTCAGAAATGTTCAAAGCAAATTAATAATATGCAGAGGTATCTTGGGGCACCGATAGGGCGGTCGCCCCTGGACTCCACAACAAAGCATTTTATATTTAGTATAATTGAATGTTAACTTCAAATAAAGATTATTAGTGGAATTTTCTCTTTGTTTATTTATTACGTTGATTATATCAATACACTAATTAAAAATTTATGAACAAGTATAAGCACATAACAAGGAAGAATATACATATATTTTTTATTTAATGATTTGTTTTCTCAGATTCCTAAAAAATAAACCTGGCTAGGGCCTCCCTTATTAGTGGAAGTAAGTATCCCATACCAGTGGATTTTTTTTTAGGGACCTCAAAAATAAATCTCCTCCCAAAAGGTATAATCATGCTATTGATAATAATGTGAGGTAGCTTAGTGAACATCACACTAGATTTTACCTCTGGGTCCAGGTTCAATTTAGGTTGCAACAGTTAATTTATTTGACTTGTGATTTTTACCTCCTACATTACCGTCATCTGAAAGGAGGGGGCTGTCCTATAGGTACAAACAAACCCATTCAAACAGGAGTGTGAAGTTTAGGATTCATTCCGTGGATCTGCAATATAATAAATTATAATCTTTCCAGGCTAGATTCGAATTGGATCCACTGGACTCAAGAATTTTAAAGTGGACAATGCCTCAACACTCTTGACCATCACAGAGGTCTGTAAACTATCCTGTGACATACTCAACTTCTATAACAGGTGTATCTCTATTGGATTAAAAGAAAAACGTCATGGTTGATCATGTATTCTGTCTTTATTTTCTAATAGTACTTATACAATAATGGTTGTTAAAAAATGGCATTTCCTTATCAAGTAATGATTTCAATACTCCATCAATTTTATTAATATTTTTATTTTTAGTTACAAAATAAATCAGCCCTACAACAGATATGCCTGATTCTTAAATCCAAGGTATTATTTGGTGACTCTACCTGATTTTTTGGATCAAGTAGTTGATGGGGGGAAGTAACATTTTTCGGATTCTGAGAAAACTGAATTCAAATCACCTTTATTCACTATGAGACAGATGTGTAACACCATTTGGCACTATAATCTGACAGGTACTAACAGGAGTTCTGAGCGAACTCCTGTGTTTTTGTGAATAGAGTAATTATTTTATGTGAAAGGATAAAATATTTTAAAAATATGTCAATTTACTCCTTTGTCTATGGCAATCATTCAATTTTCCCAAAACTATGATTTATTACCTTTATCCATATAACTATTCCTTTATCACTTGACCAAGGCATTACCTCCTTTCAGAATAATGCCAAATTCCAAGTCACATGTAGTTTCAACCAGGCCACAAATTGATCAAAATGAGAATGAAAAAAATATTCAATTGTAGATAGTAAATTTATAAATAATAAATAACAGAAATCAAGCAATGAAATATTTTGACCTCACTACTATTCTCAAAATCCAAGCCATTTTCAAGAATATGCCTTTAGGACTACTAGTCAAAACTATTCAGACTCTAGTAAACTCAACTAAAAGCTTTGTATTTTGACATTGTTAGTTCTTTCATTCACAGTCACAAGTATAAAGATTGCAGGATGAGTTAGCTTGTCAGGTAGACAGATCTTCTTTTCCCAGTTCCTGAAATATCCAAGATATATATTTTTTTAATCTAGGATATCTGGCCAGGCTTAATGTTTCTGACCAACAGAATTCTGGTTTCATACAATTTTTTATTATATAAAATTCAGTAGTAATTTGTAAAATTAAAAAAAAAATAAACATAATAATTGATAAAGTACTGGTTAACTAGTTGCTCATGTACTGAACAATTCAAAAATAATGCTTTATATAAAACTTAATAGCTACTTATATTATATTAGCATTAAGCAATTTTTTTTTAGTAATCTTAGTTCTCTAGTGTTCTATGTGGGAATATTAAAGTTTCTTCTTACTTGCACTAAAGTCTATGGTAGACATCTTTGTATAATTTATTTAGTGTTTAAAGATTAATTTTTATCTATAGTTTTAATTAATTCAGGACGTACCTATTCATAATTTCATAACATATTTAATTGAGACAACCCTTATAATTATAGTATAATTATTAAGAATTATGATTTCAAATGTCCCTGAAATAGTAATAATAATATTATCTAACTGGTATCACCATAGTACCATAAAATTATAATAAATCAGCTCAATCTGTTGAAGGTCATTAATAATAATTCAGGCCAAACTGTATTTTTAGAGAGAAAAAAAAGTTTAATAATGACCTGTATTTTAATACTAAATAGAAAGTTAAATATCTGAGTTGTAATATCAACTGTCTTATATTTGTTGAAAAAAATAACAGATGATAATTATGAAAAATTAAATCAAAACTATTGAATCTAAATGACCATTACATTTAAATGTTGTTTTATGTCATTTGAATTGCACCCGTTTATTAATTTTAATAACCAAGGATAGAGAGCAGCATAGTAGTCCACAACAGTAATATTACCTTCGTTTATAATAGGGTTATAACATCTGTTTTTTTAATTTCCCCCTTATCATTTTAATTTATCCAGTTCTACTCTGCCTGTTCAAGCCGGTTAGATTTGTCCCTCCGTAGATACAGAAGTTAGCCCGGCTGCACCTTGTTTCGCGTTTGTGCACATGTGTTGAAGAACTGTTTATGGGCATTAAAGATCTTAAATTTATTTTAAGTTAAAAAGTTTCAAGTTTTGTAGTATTAAAACAATGTTTTCGAAAGTTGTCAAGGAATCTCCAGCGTTATTATCAAAGCAATATGGGCTATTTATGCTGTATAGAGAGTAAGCATTGTGTTATATTTATAATATTAATTATTTTGCATTTTATATTGTCCAATATTTATAGTAATGTTCATTTCAAGTTTACAAATTGATATTAATTATACGACAAGTCCACTAATTTCTTGAAACAGTTGTCCACTAATTTTTGAGAAGTTTTTGTTTGAATTAACCCTGATAACAATCGTTTCTTATCTTTTTATTCTTATCACTCAAATCACTGCAACTCTGTCTAAGATTAATAATTATGAATGAACAAATTTTGGCAAATGAAGGATGAGAATATCAGTGAACATAACAGCAGGAGTAAAAAAAAAAAAAAAAATAGCTTAATGACGAATACATGATCATCATTTTGTCTTAATCTAATTGTGTGATGAAAATACCCATTTAAATTTCAAACCATTGTCTATTCAATATGTTACATGTTTTAGTACTGCAAAAAAATATTATTTAATATTTGTTCGTGTAGCTAAACAATAATAATCAGCTACCACTGGCTCTAATGTCTAATCATTAAATTTGTAATTTATGAATTAAGAAATTTAAAAGTAATCAAACCGTTGCAATAAATTTTGTTTTATACAGATAGATTGTGGCAAAATTATTATTTTTAAGCACTTTTTGAATTTTGACAAAGAAAATCCATATCTTTGTTGAGATCTTAAATTATTTAAATCAGAACTAAAAACTTTACTTGTAAATAAATTTATTTCAATTTCTATTAATAAGTGTATTTATTTATTCAATATATACCTTTTTTTTTTTTTTTGTTCTTCATATTTCCATCCACACTTGTCATAAGTTTGACAATAAGCAGATGTGCTGTAACTAATAAGAAAATTGACATTTTAGGCATGAGGAAAATCCTGGTCTTGGTTTATTTCCTTGATTCAGGAAAAGATATCTCTCATCCAGCTCCTCTTTAGTCATCTCTTGATGAGCATGTCAGCTGTGATCATGTCCTTAATGTCTGTTGTTTAAGAGTATCTCTGTAGTTTAAGAGTAGAGATCACCTATGTGTTGGTTGTCCACAAGTCCTTATGTAAAGTTTTGTTGTTAACATACCAAGGAGCTCCTGTTATAAGTCGTAAAATTTTGGATTGAAATGTCTGTAGTTTTTGTATCATACTATTTACGATTTACCGGAATTAAATATTGGGTTAGCAAGAAAGTCATTATACCACATTTTTTTTTTAATTCTTGCACTCAGTTTCTTGGCTTCTGCGTATGTATTACTTAACTTTAGCAAATACAACTTACTGTTATTTAGTAATCTGAACTGGTTCCATATTATTTTGGATGTTATACTAGCCTAGGCTAGTATATATCTCTACTATTTTTATTAGTTGTTAGGTATTATTTTTATATAAAAAAAACAAAAATTGTCATTTACTCAACCCTCTGCGGTTAAAAAAAGTCCCGGATCGGTAGTTTCTATATCACTGAAACGAGCGGAAGTTAGCGGCTGTGATTAACAGTACTGTATAGTGATGGTAGAGACAAAGAAATTTTTTTAAATTTCAACTGAAATAGTTTTATGTTGACCATAGCAGCCAACTTCGACGATTTAAGCCTTATTTACAAACTATAAACCGGTAAATGCAGGGTTGCCATAGTCAGTAATGCATTTCCTCTTTAAACCTTTTAGATACGTAGAAAAGTGACGTCGCAATGAAGGATGTAAACATCTTTATACACTGTGTAAACATCTTTTTATTATCTTATTGCTCTGTACGGTTAGTAAATAAATAAATTTAGAAAATTTAATATGTGTTTACAAAATATTTTCCCCATTCATTTTAATGTTTAATTTCTAATAACATAAAATAATAAATGCATTTAGCATTGGATAGAAATAAAATAATTATAAAAATAAATTAAATATAAAAAAAAACTCCAAAAACTTTTTCGCTCCAAAGAAAAGCCCTGAAAACTACTTTCCATCCCCGCCCTCTCCTCCCAAAAAATACAACCTGGCTACTCCATGTGAATGCTATTTGTGTGAATTCTTAGGTCCAATTTTCAACAGACAGCGAGTGCTCTTGGACGTTTTCTATTCCCTTGACAATGTAAAATTTCAAGCTTAATTTTCAGAATTTACTCTTACATCTAAATCCTGTATTTTTAAAGACAGGCTTTAGATTTTTTCCTACGTAAAAATCGTTGTTGAATTTTGATACTGCTGATAGAATTATCGGTAGCAAAACATGAGTTAATATGTAAACGATGTCTCTATGCCCTCCACCCTTTCATATAATTCCTCATTCTCCCTCTATTTTCTTCGACCCACATATATTTTGTACTTTCGTTTTCAATAACACCTCCATTTTGTAGAATCCTATGGCGAGCCAATATCACGCTCAACCGCCAGGTTTTCCCCCTCAATTAATTATTTAATTAAGAGTACCCACTTTATAGAGGCTGGGTTTGCTGGGCAAGCTCACTTGTCCAGCAAACTCAGCCTCAGTATATCACGGAACCAGGGTCGACCCACGGCACGGCTTATGAAAAATTACTAGTCATCAGCCGGATTTGAACCTGAGACCTAGAGCTCTGGAAGTCAGTGCCCACACACTGAGCTACCCCGCTCCACTCTTCTTCAGTGGGGGTCTACAAAATGAAATCTCTGATCCGATAAAAAAAATAGAATCATCCGATTGTAATTTTCATCAGGGGTGTCCATTTCCCCAAGGTCGATGTCGAAAAATGGAGGGGCGTGGTGGCCGAATGGGCTAAAGCGTGTGCACAGCACCGCTAGTTGCCTAGCAACCGGATAACAGAGATTTGAGATGATTTAAAAAGTATGAGTTCGCGTCCCGGTGCCGGAGATTTTAAATTCCCCGCCCTCACCCCCCGGCCCGGGAAAATCCCGTATAGCCTAATAGGCGAGATAGGGAAAATCTACCTCCCACCCTCTCCTACCAAGATATTTTATTGCTCACCTTTTCTTAAAAAAAGAGCAAGCTAAGGTCGAATTAGAAAAGTCGTAGATCATATACAATTACACTTGCTGCGGTATGTTCCATATTTTCCCCCTTGTCCCATAGTCCGAAAATCCATAACCCCGTCGAAATTTGCCCCTCTCAAAAATTCAAAAACCCCTGATTTGACAAAATACAGAATCGCTCTTAGCTTGAAAGGACATGTTTCAGATATTTAATACAATTTTTTTTATTTTTGATGTCATAAGTAGATATCCATAACAATTACCGTTAATTTGATCATTAATTTTAATTAATATATTTTTCTGCGTTATCCACATAATTATATGGGTTTCATTTAATGAAATGTTTTAATGAGTCTAGGAATTTAACACTTCCTTATTAGGACTATTATAGGTTTTATTCCCTTACTCCCACAGGATACGTTAATCTTGTGCTTTGTTTGCTTATTTTTGTTGGCATGGGTTAGGGACGTGATCATTTCAAGGTCATCAAAACTGTGTTATTCACTTCAAGGATGTACGAGGTCATCTTTTGAATAAAGTAACAATAAAGATTTGATATTTTTTTTATTTTCATCATCAATATTTAATTTGTTATTAGAGAAGCTAAATTGATTCTCAAACGTTTATTAAGATTTTTTAGCAACAATATTTTCCTTTTTATTGAGCATTTATTGTGTGACATAACTAAATCCAGGATTTAGTGCAGCCAAAAAAAAATGAAGAAATATCCATTAAAAAGGCCGAAACCTGCACAAATGTACACCAAAGTGGAAAAACAAATCAATAAAATAAAAAGTTTCTAGGAATTTAAAACTTGAATAGACTTGAAGGAAATTTTAAATCAATTAAATAAACATATATGCATTTGTAATGTGATTTTTTTTTTTCCCAATGATCAATTACAAATAAAAACGAGAAATACTGTAATATGATAATTTATTAAATAATTATATTTAACTGATATTGAATCTATGGTCTTCTCCATTTCGTTAATAAAGTTATCGCAAGCTGGTCAAATTTTCGAGGAGTTATTTTTTTACATTCAGCTCTTTTTTCCTTTCGTTGACACTTTTTCGAAAACAAATTTTTGGAAAATAATGTAATTTTGGACTAAAAATTGCAATTTAATTTTCAACTGAAACCAAAACTTAGAGATTTTCATTTACTCCAGTAACCCTTGTACATCGCAAGTTGCATCAAATAGGGCTAGGTTTCTCGCGCTCGGCCATCGCATCCTCACACATTTTGGTAATTAATTGATAGATATAATAGTAACTATACCTAGTTCTACCATAAATAATGTTACCGAGATTGAACTTTGTTTACATCCTTGGGTATTGTTTAGGTAATCGTTACATCTATCAGGTTATTTTCTTTACATATTAGGATAATAATTCCAATTAGTTCTTTCATTCAGTTAACATGCAACCGAAAACCGAATAGCTGTGATCCCCTTACACAAAGTTGGAAAATGTAGGTCACAGATTTTCAACACTTTGAAACCTTTGGGTATCAGTTTACCGTTCGTCTACCGCACTATAAGTAGATATAATGAGATCCTATCTGTATGTGACAGACCTCGACCGGGCCCTCCCCGCACTCTGTGAACGGTGAGGGCAGTGGCTGCTCGAATCAGAAGAAATCCCATTCGAAAACAACACATTATGTCTCGGGAAAGAGGGATCTCTGTCAGATCAACGTCTCGCATAATAAAAAATGACCTTAGGATGGGTGCATTTCGAAGAATGACAGAACAAAGGCTAACCCCTTCCGCCAAAAAAATTATAGTGAATAGATGCAATGTGCTCCTTGGCCGTTCCACCAATGGTCTTCATCGAAAGATTTTGTTTAGCGATGAGAATTTTACAATTGAAGACAATTTTCATCGTCAAAATGATTGTGTGTACGCCCACAGCTCTAAAGAAGCCCAGGAAGTCATTGGAAGATTGGAAATAGGTTATCACCCTTTCTCAGTGATGGTTTGGTGGTGAGTTTGATTTGATGGCACCACAAAGCTCCATTTTTCGAATAAATGAATAAAAAACTATCAGTT